ATCTATTTTGCTGATTTAATTCCAATAATTTAATTATTTTTATGTCCATGAAGTGTTTAGCCGAATGAAGTAATTCAAAGTATATTATGTAATGGTAGATAAGTATTTTTGTTGATTTGTGAATCTGTTTGCTGATTTTAATTCGAATAATTAATAAATGCTCTTCATGTTCGGAAAGTTGATTGAAGTGATTAGTGCGAACGAAATGATAGATAAGTACCTATGTTCTTGATTTGTGAATCTGTTTGCTGATTTTAATTCCAATAGTTAGTAAATGCTTTTTATGTTCAGGAAATTGAATGAAATGATTCAAAGAGTATTATTAAATAGTAGATAAGTATTTATATTCTTGATTTATATTAATGTAAACTTCATCATACGAACTTTATAAACTTCACAGACATAACAAATCAAATGTGAACAATCAAATTTGAAGCTTTTATGTCATCACAAAAAATGGAAAGTGAAAATATTATTGAAGGTAACGTAACGTATAAATTACAATGATTTTAATAGTATCAAGGTGCAATCCAAATTTTCAGATATTAGCCAGATTTATTATATAATTAGCATTAAGATTAGGCTATTTTTATCAAAATTAAGGCACATTCTCTTCCCCTTTTTAGGAGTAACATTTAAAGCCTGGGACCTACTGATTTTTTGATTTTTAATTAAAATCAATTAATACTAGGATTAGGGTTAGGTTTGGACACTTTTGGTTAGTGTATAAAGAAAGACCAGGTTAAATAGGCATTTTTTATATTTTTCGTGTTTTTGTCTTTTGTTATTTTGCTTTGTTTTGTTTGGGCTGAACCAGGTTATATATCGGATAATTTTGTAAGGTACCCGACCTCCTTTTTATCAGCACATATGTAATTCTGTATCATGATTGCTATTTCTAGAAAATTTGTACTCTAATACTATTTGTAATCTATTGTTATCATTTTTATAAAGTTTATATTTAAAAAAAACATTCTTAATTATGTATTTGCAGACATGTTTACTAAAAAAGGCTAAAACAGACAATAAGATTGAAGCTGATGATATTGTTTACAATAGAATAATGCTTGAAGAGCTTCGTATCAATATTAATAATATTGATAATACAAAGCTTGGAATTATCACAGATATCTTTTATGAAACTTTTTCTGGTATTCATGATAAAGTTAAGCAATTTATAATTTACTTGTAGACAAAAAAGATGATATTGATCATATACTTGAGTCAAAACCTTGTATATCATAGAACCCAACTTTTACAAGAACTATTCTTTTCCTTTTATTATCTGTTGGGCAGCAAGCTAGTTAGAACTATCAATTTTAGAACAACTTGTGTAATATTTGACTATAAAGTTAGGGTTGTAAGTCAAGTGGTTGAACTAGTAGATAGAAATGAAACATCAAAAGCCAGTACTGCAGGTGGATTTGAAAGGAATAACAATGATAGCAGTAATGCTTATAGTGGCAAAAGCAATGACAGAAGTGCCAATGATAATTATAGTAATGATAGTAAGGGTGATAGTTATAACAGTAGAAGTAGTAGTAGAGATAACAATAATAACAAGAATGGAAATAGTAATTATGATAGTAAAATTATTACAATCAACTTTGTAGCAATAGCAAAAGATAAAGAACAAAATCGTACTCAAAAATTTTTTATTGTTGTTAAGTTTTATGCAAAATTTGATGACTTAAATAAAAAATATCCAAAGTTTGCTATTAATATTGATGTAGTTGAGTGTAAAACAGATTGTGTGTTTAGCGACAAATGAGATCAGCTTGAAAATGAAGATTATAGTTATTGACTAGAGTCTTTTAAAATTAATAGATTGTTAATTTTTTGAGATATTTTGCTTTTAAATAAAAAGGTTAGTTATAGTGAATATTTAAAAACTGTCAAACAACAAGCTTGTTTGGGAATCAGCAATATACCAAAGGCTGAAGTTCAAGTTAAATAATCTAATAGTACTAAAGTTACATTATGCAATTGGAAGTTGCAAGTAGCAAGAACTTGTAATACTGAATATAGTTGGTTATATAAATATAATTCTAATTCGTTAATACTCCAGTTTGAGTCTGGACTTCATAAGGTTGAAGAAAAGATTGTAAGTTAGCTAATATGTAGATTCTATATTGTAATTGCTCAAACATTTTGCTTCAAGCTAAAGAACTTCTTGCTAGTCATTTTAAGATTTACAAAACCAAAGCTGATGAAATGTTCTTGTGTAATTCATACTCTTAAATTGATTTTTAACAACTTTAATGATTTTAACAAGAAATTCACAAAATTTAATTCTTATCAAGAGGTGGTTGAACATATTACTCTTATAGTGAATGATATAAACCAAACAAATCATACTGCAAAAATAAATTCTGACATTATCAGTATTGAATATTCAATCAAAAACTTAAAATATAAAAATTTATAGCTCATAAATATGCACTAGTACTAAAAGTTTTTGAAGTTATAATAAAGATGATATATATGTTTATTGTTTGTATATTTTAGATAAATTTATAAACTTAATAAAGTAACTAGCTGTCAAAAATAAGAATGTAATTATATTAAGCTAATTCTGTAAATGATTGAAATATATGTATATTAGTAATTTAAACTGCATATTCATCAACTGTTAACCTACTAGGGCTAACCAGATACAATCAGTTTAACTAAAATTATTTATGCTACAATTGTTATTATAAATTCTGAGCAACTGATAAAAATTTGTAGAATAATTTGTGACTGATTTGTTAAGTTTTTGATTTCAGTATAATAGATTTAATAAATTGATGAGTAGCATCTTACTGGAATCATGCTCTGAATTACTTCATTCGGCTAAACACTTCATGGACATAAAAATAATTAAATTATTGGAATTAAATCAGCAAAATAGAT